TGTGTGTGTGTGTGTGTGTGTGTGTGTGTGTGTGTGTGTGTGTGTGTGTGTGTGTGTGTGTGTGTGTGTGTAAGGGAGCTTCATCATTCGGGCTTTTACATATCGCTATCAGATACAGAAATACCTCATAAACTTTGATTTGAGAGCGTCCGATGATCTCATTTTATTTTGATGAACATTAACCACATGAACAATGCCTTATCTTGGATTGAATGTAATGGCATTTATCTGTGAAAGAGATGGGTTTACTCATTCAAAGTTTCACTCGGAATAGAGGCAGCTTCAAACCAACTTAACAAACTCACACCCGCCAACCATCAAACCTACCAAGGTGATGTTGGACCAATGTCCGACTACTGGGAAGGGTTTACAAAGGGCCTAGGGTATCGACACATATGGCATCTAGAAAAAAAAAAAAAACACTTCAGACTTGTCATTGTATTGTGATCACATATTTCTGTTGTGACTATGTAGCGAGCTATCCAAGGTTTCCTTCTGCTGGAGTTGGACTGTATGAGATCAAGCCAGACCTAGCAGTGCGACTGTATATAACATTGGTGTTGACTGTATTTAATAATGTTCATGACTGTTATCTTCTTCTATAATATTCTATACTATGGGTAACTGTTTTGTGGCTTCACTGGCCTGCTGCGTGGGGCTGGCTAACGTTTGGCTAACGTTGAAGAAACATTCAGATGGACTACGTGCACTGCGTCTATATGCACTTTGATTTATCAGGGAAATTTTATTAATGTTTTGTAAATGTTTCATATGACACTTACTGTGCCATTCCCGTTTTTACATCATCATGGAAATTATGTATTTCATTTAAACAGCAAATATCATTTATGTACTTCATGTTTTTTTTCAATCGATTAAACAGATTGACTGGTTGATTTCCAAGTAATGAAGTGTTTTACCAAAGTGACTGTGAACTTGTAACTTTCGATACAGTTGAATTATTTTTCTTAAGAAAAAGAATATATCTATATATTGAGCAGGGGGGGGCGTACATCTCATTGTTTCAGTTACTGTCATTCTCAAAAGCAAAGTTGTATCAATAAAAATGTTTTAAAAAGTGTGATTTGTATCTCATCAGGAATGTTCACTGGTTTTCTAGTTGTCAGAGAAAATTTCAAAATGCAAACATTGCGGGAAGAATACAGTTACTTTACTGGCATGGTATAAAAAGGGTACAAGGATGCTAACCTGAAGAAAAAGGCAACACAAAGCTGCACAAGCAATAGAAATTCAAAATGTGATTAGAAGTTATGGATGAAAAATTCCGAACTGAAAAGTTATTACACAAGACTGGCAACCCTTCTTTTTCCTTTTCAGTGGCTCTGGACTAATCTCATGACTGCTCTTGATGTTTGGGTTTTTCCTCTTTTTTCCTGCACCCTCTGATAATGGTCTGGCTTTTCTACTTTACTACTTTTCTCTGCATATTCTGCAGTATGCATGTACTTTAAGTAAAACTAACACACAAATAATAATGCTAACTATAATTGTTATTGTTACACATTTTTTCGCATACGATGACAAACCTCAACAACCAGACACATAAACACACATCTCTGCATAGTCTCTGCCACTCGCTGCACCCCATCATAGCTTTTTGTTCTTTCCTCCACAGGCCGGCGTTGTCATGGAGACCGCACCGTGTTCTGTCGTATGGAGGTGCTGAAGCGCTACTGCCCTCTACCGGAGTACCAGCGCATGTGCTGCAAGTCCTGTGCCAATGTCAGCGTTACAGGAGTTCTACCCACCTTCACACCCATCACCTCCATCCTGCCCAAAGTTACAACTCCTCCACCCAGCAGCACCCTTAGCTCTGGCTTCACCACCATCCCACCCACCACAGATGTCATCACCACCATTTCAGCTTCTACCATCGATCCCCGGACCACCACTCATCCTCCTACCTCTGTCACTGCTATTCCTCATTCTACACTTTTCCCTACACAAATGATCCCCAATCATTCTTCTACGTCTACCACTGATGTTCTGACCTCCACATCTTCCCCTCCAAGTGAAATTCATATGATCATCACTCATCCTCCATCTGCCACCAGTGCTACAGTCCCTCAGTCCATCTCTTCCATGTTGACCACCTCAAGTTCAACTTATTTTAGTGTTAGAGCTCATCCCCTACCTCTGCCTGCCCCAGACATAGATGAGAACACAGACATACAGTTACAGAGTACTACAAATGGTCCAACAACATCTGATATCATAACTACAACCCACCTTCCAGCAACAAACATTCCAACTATCTATACAGAAAGCACTACAAAAACAGATGCCCAAATAAAGTCAAAGCCTAAAAAGATTTTGCCAAAGAAAAAACCCAAAAAGGTGTTTACACCAAAGATCAATCCAAAGAAGAATACTGCACAAAAAAATATTACAAGAAAAAATGTTCCACTAAAGGTCAAACCCAGAAATAAAACAAATTCTGCTCCAAAAAAGGGTAAATTAGGAGACAGCAATCCGCCGCAAAATAAACCAGAAAACAAAGCTCCCAAAAAGACTATTAAACCAAACACCACCCCTAAAAAGACTACTAAACCAAACACCACCCCTAAAAAGACTACTAAACCAAACACCACCCCTAAAAAGACTACTAAACCAAACACGGCCCCTAAAAAGACTACTAAACCAAACACCACCCCTAAAAAAACTACTAAACCAAACACCACCCCTAAAAAGAATCCTGTGATAAAGACTCCTCCCAAGAAAAAACCAACGCCCAAAAAGAAGGCTCCGTCACAGGCCAAACCTAAGAAGAACACTCAGCCAAAGCAAAAACAAACAAAGACAAATATCCAAAAGATCCCCAAACCAGGTCCCAAAAAGGCAACAAACTCACCAACTAAGGTAAATAAGGATAGGTTCAAGGTAAAAAAGACTTATCCACCAAAGAAAACCCAAAAAACGGTGTCTCCATATGTTACAACAACTGCCACTCTGCAAACAAGTCCAGGACCACTAAAAGAGTTATTTTCTTCCACTATCTCTGGCGCCAGTGTATATGCGACAGTTGCAGGCATGCCTTTGTCCGAGTCCAGAGTCAATGTCACATACATCAATGACAACACAGCAACTAAAGATGAAACTCCGCTGTGGTATTACATTGTTTCAACCACAACACCTATCACTTTTGGAGATGGCATTACACCAACTGACATCGCTCATTTCGAGGAAGTCAGCGTGTCCAGTGGAACCATGCCTCACAGCAGTGCTCCAATGACCAGCAGTGGTGATGTCCCAGTAACAAGCGGGACCATTTTCAGTGGTGATGACATCACAGTGTCCTACAGCAACAGGGAAGGGGTCAGTGACACCATGGTGCTAGATGACGGACTCACTATGATGATCCCAACCATCAACAGCGAGGATATGACGGACCTCGCTTCCTCGCCCTGGCTGGACCTGTCTGAATACATCCCTGTGAGCTATCCTGTTCCCACAACAACTTCAGACCCTGCCTTGGCCTCACCTTCCACCATCATCACTCTGCCAACTGAAACATCAGCCATCTTAACCACAACCAAACCTCAGCAAAGACCAGAGGAGAACAATGAGAACAACTCCGTCGACATCATATACAACAGGATCATCGGCGTAGACAACGATATCTCCCAGAACAATCTGATCCCAAGGCGTCGGGTCAATCTCAGAGAGAGAACCAAGAACAAACGCATTCAGGAGCTTCTGGAGGAGAAGAGGAACTTTCTCCTCAGGATGAAGCGAGGTCACAGAGTATGAAAGATCAAGCCTTCTCATTTCTCTTATAGAGATGAAGGTGTTCCTTACAGACTTTTGTAAACTATGTTTGAACCCCTCTAAACTGCCATGATGCTTTTTACGAGGCCTTCACAAAAAACATTGTCATATCAATCAATCAATCAATGTTTATTTATATAGCCCAATATCACAAATGTTACATTTGTCTCAGTGGACCTCACAGTTTATACAGAATATCAGTATGACAATACGACACCCTCTGTCCTTAGACCCTCACATCGTACAAGGAAAAACTTCCAGAGAAAACTCACAGTTTAAAGGGAAAAATGGGAGAAACCTCAGGGAGAGCAACAGAGGAGGGATCCCTCTCCCATGATATCGCTATCATGACCATCAGGACTTTCCCAGGTGGAAAATCATGGCAAAATGTTTGATTAGTTAAGAATTAAGAAAATTCCTAGATTGTAGCAACAAATCAATGAAAAGCAGAAGGGATTAAAAGTGAATATTCAGTTTGCCAGTTTTGTCGGGACTTCAGAAATCCATGTTTTTATCCCCCTAAACCACCCACAGACTTGTTAGAGGCTTAAACAATGATGTAGATAAGGTGTTATGTTGTTTCTAAAATGGTATTATCCCTACTGGCACTTATTGAGCAACATATTCTATCACCTAGAACCCAAGTCTTCATCTCAATATTATATTACAGCCTAGCACTGCAGCTCATTTCCCGATAAACAGAGATGTCTCCTCCCTTAATAACAGCTTCTGTTTGACAACATAAAAATGTCCTGTTTTTGTCGACAATCATTTTCATAATTTGGTTTTTAAATGTTTTTTCTTTACCATCCCTTGTCTGGTCCTGCTCAGGGGGAATCTTACATCACATCCACATCGTCTAAAATTGTATCTAAAAAACTAACATGCACTTCCTACTCCAAAACAAAAGAGATAGGCAACAAGTCACATAAACCAATACCAAACAGACTGGGAATCAAGTGAAAGAAAAATAATGTCTATTTCTCTGTAGGGTCCTTAACATTATGTCGTCAGACTCTTAAAATAACGATATGATCTTGACCAGTTTCAAAGCTGTCATGTTATGTAGAAATCGTACCTGAAAAAGATATGACGATGCTGTTCAATCAAAAAGTCAAAGTGCACTTTTCATTGGGTTGTGAAAAGTTTACCCTGCTTAGATTGTGTGGCCTTTTCCAAAACAAACGTCTGCATGGGGTCTCTCATCTCTCAGGAAGTTAAGATAACGTATATTGAGGGACATTGCTAAACATATGATGCTTCCTGAATTTTTTTTTATATATAGTTGTAATATCTCATTAAGCTAGCTGGAAAAAAGGAAAGAGAAGAAAACTACATTAATTGCAATTTATTTTGTATGGCCAGTCAAGTATTGTGCTTCCTAGACAGTGTTGCTTAAGTGATGTCCCTCCTGCATTCATTTATGTACACAAATATTATAATAAAACAAACAGGCCTGTTTTTATCAAATGTATCAAAGTAGAAGCTTCAGGGCCCAGTTTATTTTATTTTGTAAAGGCTTTCTTAATGGCACATCTCTAACTTGCAGCAGCTGCAAAAGCATCTATGGATCGTTCTGTACAATATCTGTACATATGAAAAGAACTTAATGTTTAATATTTATTAAAGTTTACATTCCTGTGGTATTTTGCAAAATGTCGGTTTTGTGTGATTTATTCTTTCCACTGACAATCATCACGTGGCCCTTCATTCTCAACCTCATGTTTGCATCAATATGCAGTGATTTAAGGCTGCACGGCTCCTAGTTAAGCCTCAAATTATATATAGCACGGTTACAGGCTGTCTCAACATCACATTTCACAGTAATGCCATATCTGACACATAGGGGGAAACATTGCACTTTTGTTCAATGATGTATTTATGTTCTCTGTATTCATATTCGTGTTCACACCACCTTTGTATATATATTTTTTATCTTGCCAGTCTCAGGATATCAGGTTCAGAGCATGATTGCCTTAAAACTGATATTATTTGCAATGGAAATAAATAACATTACATTGCACTTTCTCTTTAAGATTAAAGCTTTTTTTTAATTTACAGTCTTTGATCTGTAAAACTCATCACCTTTTTCTTTATTCCCTTTATATGAAAGACTAAAGATTGACCGTTAGATGTTTATATCTTTCATAAGCCAATGATTTGTTTCATGTTTTCACTTCATCTGGCCTCTGTAAGGTGACAACCCCACTCTGATTACATCTATTAAAGCAAACATAAGCCTGTATGGATGCACTAATGTTAACTGTCAATAACCATTGTATCCCCCTCGGAGATAAAAACAATTTGTAGTGTAGGCCCACAATAGAACTAGATAAGAAACATTTGCAACCTCACATTTTCAGTTATCACATTTTTGCAGTTTGTGAGAAATGGAGTCCAAAGTAGAGAAGAATATTTGTGTCAGGAAGTTCAACATCGCTCTCCTGACTCATTTCGAATAACTTATCGTTTAACACTCGCAAGTGGTCAGTACAGTAGCACCTGGAATCCAACAACCCACCGTGATGAAGATCATGGTTTTGGATCCTGGTCATGTCTGTAGACAGTGTTTCAAAGAAGTGCTGATCCAATTCTTTTGATGTTATTGATTGGTTTTAGGCAATAGTTTGCAGTATTGTTTGATGCTAAACGTTTTGACAAAGATTGAACCCTCTAAGGTCCGAATTCAAGATGTATTGCAATGTGATTCTACTTACTGTAACTGCAATATATCGTGTTGTCTTGTCATCTTGCCCTTTCCCTGTGATCAGAATTCTTCCGAAAAAATATTTCATAACTTTTTCTTGGACGACGCAGTAATCTCTCTAAGGAAACTCTGTTAGCTGTCCTTTAGAGGAAAACTCTGAACAGATTTTAGGGCTCCTTATGGCAGCTTGAAGATCAGTAATTAAATTCATAACCAGGTTCAACAATCAGAGCACTTCCATTTATCCATCATTCATCTGAAAGTGTCCAGCTTTCTCTACCCACACATTTTATCAGCCATAAAACACAAGCGTCAACAAGAGATTAAAGACAGAGGAAAGAGGAACTGGAAGCGTTTAACCTTCCTTTTGTATAAAAACCTTTTGCTATCTAATCTTTCTTTGTAAAAATATTAGGTGACATTGTATGTCACTACGATATACTGGTCAAGGTGTTTTGCTTTTGTAAAATAGTGTGAAGAGTATTCAATCCATCAATTGAATGCGTATGCGAACAATACGCATGTCACAGGAAATGTTTAGCTGCTTCACATTAAGTGCCTGCACAAAATAAACAAGTTAAATAATGTTATAGAGTTGTGAGTTTTTAGTTAAATGTTTGGGATTAAGAATAAAATAGTGCCATTACATTGCTTTTATTGAATGTGTCCATGAATATCCTCAATTTAATTGCAGTCCATGACTACAACATTGCAGTGGCTAAGTGTCTGTCTTCCTACAGAACACACATCATACACAAGTGTCATAAGCTGTGGGTTGTTGTTTAGCTGAGAGCCATTATAAATAACTCAACCCATACCTAATCTATTTAATATGCTCGCTATGCCTGCTGAAAATACAGCTATTTCCTTGTAAACACACAAACAACACATCCAAATGCAAGCATGACTGGTGTTTAACCAGGTTCTTGTTGCTTCTTTCATAAATTCTGGTTCATGTTGTGCCTCGTGTTCCTCGTGTTTGTGATTTTTGTAATTTGTAGAATGCACATTGATAAATGCAGCCAGTGTGCTGTGTGAGAGACTGTCGGAGTATAACTGAACAATGTGTGTGCATTCGTGTGTGCGTGTGCATGTCCCGCTGTCTTTGAGGCAAATTTAGTTCATTGAGACTAGGCCATTAGAGACCCATAAAAAGAAAGGAATCTTTTAGTTAAGATGCAAAGAAGATGTGACTCATATGTGTCACAGAGTTCACACACACACACACACACACACACACACACACACACACACACACACACACACACACACACACACACACACACACACACACACACACACAGACACGGTTGCAAAATTCCGGGAATTTTCAAAGATCGAAACTTTCCATGGGAATTAACGTTACATTTAAACATTTTTTATATGAGGAAAAGAAAAATCCCCTTTCTTCAGAATTGATTTAGTGTAACTTCATAAACTTCACAACAAATGGTGTTTGTCAAATCTGGAAAGATTTCTAAAGGCGGTTAGAAATTAAATTGTTCAATTAAACCCTTTGAAATTCCAATGATACATTCTTTAACTGAATCACCACAGTGGTCAATTCTCCTGAAAATGTCCCACAACTTTAAAACATGCTTCTCAATAGAAATCAATTCAGTTTTGAACAGTGGACAAAATCTGATAATAGGAAAAACAATCAACAGTATTGCCTCTATCCAACCACCTGCTGTCCCATTATTATTGTCAAATCCTGAATACAAATGCACCCTATTTTACCTGGAAGCTGCCCAGTTTACATTCTTCATGGTTATGCAACGCTTGTTAAGTGCGCCCCACATCCTCCAAAATGGGCTCTTCTTCTGTTTTAATACAAGGGTGTTACATATCTGTTCTAATATTCAATAATTAATTTAGTCTTTAGCCAATTTAATTTAGACGAACAGCACTCTTGGGCCCCACATAAAGTCTAATGAAACACATTTCAGTTGACCTACATCATTAATAACATTTTATGAAGAATCAAACGTCTGTAACTCATTTTAGAGACTAAATGAATGACTGAGAATGTCTCCAAGAAAGGGGATAACACCAGTAATCCCAGCTATGTGTTATGAACACACTCAAACACGTGCGAATCTCTCACATGCATTTCAAAGTAGCATGCATGTTAAGCTTTTTACAATAATGGTAAACATGTTGACATATTCTCCACAATTTGTAGATTCTCCTGGCACTAAGCTTCATTTATATTTACCAAAGATGGCAGTGGCTTACTGTGTTCATTTATAGTCAGTCTTTATTTAAATTGCATGTCCTGAAAAAATACTGGGTAAAAATAACCTCCACGCCTCATCTTCCCTCTATTTTTCTGTTTTGTTTCCTCCTCTGTATCCTTTTTCTGTCATCACCCTCAATCCATTTCTTAGTCATCTCTCTTCCCTCTTTCTCTGCCTCTGTTTTTCACTCTCCGTCAATACAGTCGGCCAATGACAGCGCTTGTGCTGAGGAAATGGATGGTGTGTCTATTTTTAGAACCAGGGAAGGAGGGCAAACCAAAAGTAAGCTGGAGAGAGAGAGGGAGGGAGAAAGAGGAGGGATGTGAGGAGAAGATAAATCTGTATTCTACCGCTGCCTCTGGTCAGAGACATTTGGAGCCACAGAGCGCTTTAGGAGAAGCAGCATCACTGGCTGGAGACTGAATTATAGATACAATTTAAAGAAGAATAGATCCAGCTGCAGATTGATATTCAATATTGCAAGAGCAGAGAAAAGAAAAGAAGAAAGACCAACTGGACTCCACAAAGAAAAAGGTGAGTGAAAAAGCAAAAAATCCTTCCATAATTACTGAGAATGCATGAGGTAAAAATACACAGCGTGCCTGTTCCGTGCCTCAGCACAGAGCTGCTACCATGGAACCATTTTAAGCTGCTGTATACCAAAGGTGTGGTCTAAATATAGCCATGGTTGCACCTTGGAAGAAACGGGGAGAGGCTGGCTTTTTGGTTTGGCTGGCACTATTTTTGGCATGGAGGTCGAGACGAAAATATATCGTGGGCTACTCAGGGTTCTCACAATATGGGGTTGAAAATCAAAATATAAGCTGTCACATTCTGTGGCTTTACATGATTGAGATGGTATTTAAAATAGTCATCTATTTATGTTTCATCTTGCTGCTCCTTGTTGGGATTGTTTGTAGTTTGGGGTATTTACACTGCATCTCCAAAGTAAGCAGGGGAAAGGGAAGAGAGGGACAGTTTTATGTGAATCAAATTCAATTTGATACAATCAGTGACAGAAATAGAATGTTGTCTTTGGATCATAAGTTATTTATCCAGAGGTAGCAGCAAAATGATGTCATTGTTAAAGCACATTATTCTGATGAGGTACTATATAACCTTTTCAAAGCAAACTGTAAGCTTCAAAACAATACTTTTTTTATGTAAAGTTTCAGATCTTCTAATGATTCATATGTTTTCTTGAATGTAGAGCAAGATGTAGTGTTTTTATGAATGGATAGCCTTTATGCTACCTGGTCATCATATCGTCATTTCAACCAATGATTCTCCATTTGATATTTTGTTTTGCACGATAAACCTCAGAATAATCAGTGAATGTACTGTCATACTGGCAATACACTGAACATTATTCTACCTGTTAAACATTTGCCCGATGATATTTTGGCTCTGAACCTGACATGTTCCCTCCTTGCCTCTCTCAGCTATGCGGCCGCGCTCCAGACTGCTGTCCAAGAGAAGACTCCTGCTACCCACAATCAGAGAGGGCTCTGAGGAGATGGTGAGGGATTTGAATGAAGCCAACACACTCCACATCTCTGCCCACGGTGGCCAGGCTGTCTCCTCTGAGGACTACCTCCTCTCCATCTGCCACCTGGCCCACCCCACCTTCCCCAACAGGGAAGTCTCCTCCGACAACATCCACCGGAGGCTGCGGTTCTCACGGCTCAGTGTTACCACATCATCCACTTTTGAATTTGCCCCAACAGAAGAGGCCATCGATATGCAGCAGGGAGAGGAGAAAGAACTCAATGATGAGCTGATGTTTGGCAACTCCGACCCCCTGGAGTGTCTTTATGGACACCAGAGCAGCCTGTCAGGGGGTGTGAGAAGGGCATTTGGGGAAGGAAGGTTTATAAGGAACCATAGGAGCTTATGGGAGGGCCAGACTCGCTCCAGAGCGTACAGCATCCCCCCTGACTCAAGTCCAGACCTCCTACACCAGCGGAAGAGCAGCTGCCCAGAGCTACACACCAGCACTACACCCTCTATCCCCACAGAGCACAGCTTCCCCCAGGCGGAGGCCAGGAGGGAGGTCCCAGCTGAAGGAGGAGCAGAGGGGGAGAGACAGAATCCAAGCCGCAAACAATCACTCATCTCCCAGTGGATCTCTGACTGCAGGTCGGCGTGGAGGGAGGCACGTGTGAGAGCATGCATGCTTCCCGCCATCGCTGAGATATAGGGTGCAGATGGACAGACATTGAGACTGAAGACATTCCTCAAAAAAATATACTAATCTTTTTCTGTCAGTGTATGAGACACTGACTTTAGGAGATGTGTAGATGTGTATTATGCATATAAATACAAGGGATATAATTAAGAATCCATTCTAAAGGCAACTAAATATTGTCAAGATTGACCATCTGTAATGTTATATCAATGTCATTCCTGTTCAAATCCCTTCACTTGATGTATGCTGGTGATCATACAAAATCATAAAAATTGAAAAAATCTGCTAATTATTTTTTACCTTCCTGTGTTGTGCGAACTAACTTTGAATCAATAAAACAATGTTTTTATACTCTGCAACAAATGGTGCTGTTATCTGTGTTTTCTTGCATGTGTGAATCCTTGGAAAATGAAGTCCCAGCTCGGCTCTGCTGGTGCCGAGGCGCTGGAGTTTCTATGGTAACTGTCGTGGGTTCCTGCTCTGGTAAACACATTTAGAGGAGGCTGAGCAAAGAGGATAACGCTGAACGTTAACATGAAAGATGCAGGTCAGCTGGCCTGCGTGGCCACTTAATGTCACAATGGAAAACAAATTGAAGGTGTAATAATAAGCTTACATGAATGCAATTACATATTTTAATTATATTAGATTCTTAATATGTATTTGTAATGTAGTTGTAAGAAGAAAGAAATATTGTCTTGATTATTGAGAATGTGTTCTCTTCGGCAAAGGTTCAGCCAGAAACAACACAAAGCAACTCTTGGCTGAAGTTTTCAAACCTAAACACTAGAGGGCAGGCTTAGAATACGATCACAACCCATCACACATTATAAAAACCAAAATCAAAAACGTATATCTGTCTAATTAGTTTGGTTTTATTTACCAGGTTCGTATGTTTATGACTGAGATGTCAAACATGTGTACAGCACTGTGTCTCTACAGAGACAATGTGCATCCTCCATTAACTGAACTGTTTGGTTTCAGAGGGTAATCCAGAGCTAACAGTTACATTGTTACTGGAAAGTGATCCTTCTGCTGCGCGGTATCAAATAACATAACATAACAACATTTGGTATAATGTTACTTCTAAGATCAGACAAGTAATGCTATCTTGCTTCCATTCTTCCATTTCATCAAATTTGTAGGATGAAAAAGTCTATGCCGAACTGAAAACTGCCGCTGCTGAGCATTGTGACACAGTTTTGAATCATATTGAGCAAGAAATATCACTCAAATAATATTCAAACAAACTTGGTTGGACTTAAAATTAGGCAAAACCTATTGATGTTGTTTTGCCCAAAGGAAGTTTTATTTTGTCTTATGGATTATTATAAACATTTTGGGTGCCCAATGCAGGCTTTGACCACCAAGTAACAATGATGCTGAAACGTGGGCCTGTTTACAACCTGTCTGAACATTTGTTTTTTTTTTAACTCATGGGACTTTGATGGGCCATGTTCATAGATCTCAGTATTCTTTTGGGTTGAATACACTGTCATTTGCATCATAATAACCAATTGCACTGACGGCCAAAACTATAAACGTATGAGTTGTGATGAACCAAAAGTCCTACTATTGTTCAAACACTATGCCGTTTTGAACAAATGGAAGACATGTCGTGAGACATTGGGGAAACATACAAGCTGAAACGTCTAGTGAGAGAATAACACTTCTCTCACAGGAACACAGTCTTTCGGGGGCTGGAAACTTTCAAAGATTCCCGTGCGGTCACATCAACTAACAAATAGCTCTCTCTTTTCACACTTACCTCACCAAATGAAAGGCGAGACATAGTGTTACCAGAATGATAGTTTGCCAAGACAGGCGGTGCTATGACAGTTTGCACACTACCTAAAACATACATTTCCTAAGACTTTTAAAGTAATATTAAAACATTTTTCTTTTCAGGCAAAATTTACTATATAGAAGTCTCTATTTGAACAGACTAATATGGGGCCTTTGACAAAAAAGAAATTGTCTAAACTATGCTCAACCACACTTCGAACCTCACAAAGGAAGTATAGTCAAAATATCAAACAAAACTCATGTGTATACCCTTTTGACTTACACCATCAACTCAGCATAACATTTTTTTGTACAACAGCCTGAGGCCACAGGTCACTTTCGACGAAGAGTTGAAAGTCTGGTGGTATCCTCTTTATATCAGATGTACAAAGGTAAAAAGTGGATGTGTGTTGGAAAATACATTTACTTATATTCTTTACCCAAAGAAAATGTTATGGTACATGTCCTTTATTTGAGTATCTCAATATTATGCTACTATTTACTTCTACTTCCTTCAGATTGAAAAATAGGCTACTTTTACTCCATTATGTGACATCTAAAGTATAATGCTAGTTACAATAAAAAAGAAAAAGATGATAGACACTTTCTTAAAGATTGATTCAGTGATTGAACCAGCAGTTAAACCTATTGCTCTTGGCTTGTGACACCTTACAAAAATGAGTGAGATTGTTCTGTAGAATTAGTTATTCTGCTGTTGATAATTTGAGTATGGTTTGTTGTTAATATTTCTGTACTTTGGCTTCAGTGGTTTGCTTTTTTTAATTACTGACATTTACTACTTTTAACATAGTTGGAATATAGTACTTCTTTCCAAAACTGATTTAGTTCTTGATTTATTTGTAAGAAATCCCACAACTCGCTTTCACAATTATTCTCTGCCGATCACTGTTTAATTGAAATGAGAAGTGCAACCACTCCAGGCTGTGTACCAAGAGTCTGCAGAGGAAGAGACTCTGCTGACGTATTCAGTTCCTGTCTCTTCATTCCTACACAGGGTAACACTTCTTTGTGGTCTTTGCTTTTCGTTAAAGACCTGCATATCTTCACAAAAAGGAAATGTGAATTATTAAAGATAGCTGTGGTTGGTATTTCCCTCGCATACCCGAACAAACATTTACCCCCTACACAGCTAATAGGGCATCCAAAAAAATATTTTCCGTGAACCATGCTGGTCATAGGCTTCTGTCACTGAAATCTGTGTTCCAGTCACCCCCCTTTTTGTTCCAGTGCATTTATATGTAGGCGCAAGCTGTGCTTTACTGATGTGAGCTGGTGCACTTTCTGGTCCCTCATAAGTAAAACACATAAAATATTAACCGAAGGGATATGTAAAGAATGCAGGCCTGCTAAGTGCATCTGTCAGAAGGAAAATTGAGTTTATCAGAGTGTGGCAGCTGAACCAATGCAAACTAGTGCGTTATAACAAATCAGAGAAGGGTTTGATACGACTCACATTTTTCTACACACACTTTTTTGTTGGAGATTTAATCGGTGTCATGAGCAGAGGTGAGCGAAGTACTCAGATCTTGTACTTGAGTAAGAGTAGAAGTACCAGAGTGTAATACTATGTTACAGTAAAAGTCCTTAATTCAAAATGTTACTCAACTAAAGTACAAAAGTATTGGCATTTAAATACTTAAAGTACAAAATAAAAGTACATTCTGCAGATTTGACCATTTCAGAATAATATATATTTTATGTTTTGATTTTAATTATTGATCATTAAAGTGTTATCAAAGCTGGTAAAGGTGCAGCTAGTTTTAATGACGCAGGGTAGCTGGTGAATTTACTCCAGGTGTTACTAAAGTCTTATTTAAGTGTTGATAATATTTCATATCATTAATCCAAATCGGCAAAGTTACTAAAGGTATTAAATAAATGTAGTGGGTTAAAAGTGCACGATTTACCTCTGAATTGTAGTAGGGTAGAAGTAACAAAACATTGAAATACTCAAGTAAAGGGTAAGTCCCTCAAAATTGTTCTTAAGTACAGTAATTGTTCTTAAGTACAGTACTTGAGTAAATCTACTTAGTTACTTCCCACCTCTGGTCATGAGGTTTCCTCTTTTAAAGTAGTTTCAGAGAAATCACATTTGCTGACCACTGTGGTTCTCTGTAACTTATGTAGAAATAGATGAAAGTCCCTTTCACTGCTTGTCAGGGAAGACCCCTGAGTCTTAAATTAGCAGTCTTAAGTGTGCTTTGACATATGTCAAATAAATGCAAGGGACCCAGTGTCTTTTATCTAGGTTAAAGAAATATACAGGAGTCTGGCCGAAAATTCAGCAAAACACTTTAAATCCATTGTGTAAAATCAATTCAGATTTATTACCTAACCAGCCCTGTCTATAACGATGTTATGCTACATTTTAGGATTGTCTCATCAATTTCACATTGATTATCTTAAAAAATGCATTGTCACGCTCTCAGGGTCGGTTCACCCAGATTTAAAATAATATATTTTATCTTACCTCGAGAGGTTTCAGCCAGGCAGATGATTCTGATTTTACTTACCAAGGTTTTGAGCTATCAATCTCTGAGACTTCTGCCCTCAGCCGCAACATAGATAGAGATCTCGAAACATGGGTAAGTAAAACCAAAACTACCCACATGGCTAGAAACCAGAAAGGAAAGTGTGTCATATTTATTCATTGCTGTATCTTACTGAACCAACCCTATAAAACATGCCTGTTTTTTGAAAGTTTATATTTTGGGTGCCTTGTCCTGGGCCCTGCTTTTATCAGTAAGGTAGTTCAGCACGTCACCTTCTTTTGCTTTTATGGTATTTTCTCATTATTGTTAAAGCACATAGAGCATTACAGAAAAGCTTTTTCATAATAATGAAAGGGCGGGAGTGGTTCAGTCTGTAGGGGATTGGACTTTGGACCGAAGGGTTGCCGGTTCACGTCCCCGATCGGACCAACTAATATGGAGTGTGGACTGGTACTGGAGAGAGGCCAGTTCACCTCTTGGGCCACTGCCGAAGTGCCCTTGAGCAAGGCACATGGCGCCGGCTAGACTGGCTGCCTCCGCTCTGACCTCTGTGTATGTGCATGACCTGTCTAAAAACGCATGTGTGTGTACGACAGAGTGGAAACTGAATCTCCCCAATTACAGAAGGAAAGAGAATGATGTCAAGAATTAGGGAAGCGAACGGAGTTGTGAATGGGATTTCATTTCAACAAAAAGTGAAAGAGGACTTAAAACTAAAACTGACAGAAGAATGCTTTCCTCTGAAACCAAGAACTTCTTTGTAAACATGTGACCTTATGGGGGGCGTATCATATACTATCTATTTTTACTTTAACATCGAAAAACTGAAGTGAAAATTAAAAGGAAATGAAT